ACCCACCCACCTACCACCTACCTACCTACCTATCTATGGCAAATACCATTCACTCGTCATGAACTCTCCAGAACCGTAAAATCTACAAACTTGAAATTTGGCACATATGTTCCTCTTAGCATCTAGGTGCTCGCTAACAAAGGATTTTTCAAATTGACCATCCGATCATTAGTATTTATTATACAGTATTATATTAACATGCTCTGATGCTAAGGAGTTAGACACTACTCCCCCTCCCCACCTGAAAAGAACTCTGTTCCAACTGCCAGGTGCCTTATATTAAGACAGTCTGATGCTGCCCCTTCACTAGACCAGGCGTGGACCTGGTCACTGCAGGAGTTATCCGGCCTGCAAACTGGGAGTTTAGACATTCTACTCCCCCTCCCCACCTGAAAAGAACTCTGCTCCAACTTTGGATTCATTTTGTACTTTGTCAGGATTATCTTACCAGTGTTCGAGCATCTTCTGAGCCTGCCTCCTCTTCTCTGGGGTGAGGGCATGGATCTGGCTAATTTCAGCCCGAGTGAATCCCAGTTCATAGGCCACCATTGGCCACTCAAAGCTCAATTGCTTGCCAAGATCTCTGAGGGACTGAAGATTGATGACGGCATCCTAGTAATTGATATGACACATCCGTAGAACATGGTCAGGCACTTGATGGCGTCAAAAGGGTGTCAGAATCCAAGTTGGAGTTCCATTAAACCCCAACGTCTTAGAGGCTGGAATCAGTGGTGGGATTCCAAATCTTTTCCTAGCGGTTCTATGAGAGAGTGCTTCGCGTGTGCACTCAGCACTCAGAGACTGCCATCGGTGTCAGCGCCGGTGAGCTAAGATGTTGTTTAGCTCCGCTGAAGTGTGGCAATCTGCTCTTTCACACGAATCAGGTGAGCTAAAAAACAAAGGACTACAGGACAGGGAACGACAGGGGCGGGAGGGTGGGTCCAGGGGTGCGTTCCCGCTTCTTCTATTGCCGCTTTGCTCAGGAATGTGCTTCGGGCGTGCATGCGCTTGATGTACGCTATGCGCGTATGTGCAGTAGGTTAAAAAATGGTGGCGTCTACAGCACTGCTGATAGAACCGGTTTGGGGGCATGGCTGGCTGAGTTACTTGGCCGAACCAGTCCGAACCGATAGGAATGCACCTCTGGGTGGGCCCAACCAGAGGTGGTATTTGTCCGTTCTCTGAACTACTCAAAATTTCTGCTACCAGTTTGCCCAAACTGGTCCGAACTGGCCGAATACCTCCTCTGGCTCGAATGCCGTGTTTAGGCTTTTTCTAAGGTGGGGGTTTCATCGTGACCAAGTAAAGGACAGAGGCAAAGAAAGAATTCCTCTATAAATCAGATTCTCCTTGAACTTTCTCATGTCTCCAGTCATTCACGCCAATATATAACTTTTATAACTTTTTCAAGGCTACCACACAGTCTACCAAGCCTAACTTTAACAGACAAGCCCACAAATACGCAATTTTGACAGATAAGCCTACCATAAAGGCAGCTGTATGAAGAATCAAAAACCACTCCCTACTTTTTAATCATTCCAAATCCATGTTTTTCAAACTTGGGGACTTTTAAGAGGCGTGGACTTCAACTCCCAGGATTCTCCTAGCCACCATGCTGGCTGGGGAATTCTGGGAGTGGAAACCCACGGATCTTAAAGTCGCAGAGTTTGGAAAAAACACGGATTTAGATGAATTGCTTTCTTTTCTCCTTACCTCATTTTTTTTTTTTTAAAGTATCCAGAATCTAAACATAACATTAAAATAACAGCTGCAAGTTGCACCGAAGTATTTGTAAAATCTTAAGCTCATTAACATTTAAATTTTACTTAGCATTGATTTTCCTTCCTCCCCTTTTCTTCCTTCCTTCCCTTCCTTCTATCTCAATCATCCTTCCTTTCCTGTCCCTTCCTTTCCCTTCCCTCTCTTAATGGCCTAAGGATTAGCGTTGATAATCTTTAACTTACACTGTATAAACACCATGTATACCAACAATAGAATGCATTGTATAAGTTTTATAGCACTAGAATAATTAAAAAATACTAAGAAATGTGTTTTTGGTTTTTATTTACTATTAGAGCTTCTCCATATAAGGAACAGGGACAGTAACAATAGTAAAAAACCACACACATTTTAGAATTTTTTATTTCTTAGAAAACCCACAGTATTTCTTAATGTTTTCTGAAAGGGTTAGTGAAAAATCTGAGTGGAAAACCTTGAAGATTTACATGAATGCAAACTTATTTTGATGGCACCACTCCACCATTTGCCACTCACAAATTCAGCTCAAAACGGTGGCGTCCAGAATGCTGGTCACATACTTAAAATATTTAGACGGGTTGGATTCCAAAGAAGGATTCTGACAAATTAAAATATTTTTTCGCATACCTCTTGGGCTTTATTTGGCATTCTGATTTCAGGATCCACACGGTGCTTTGATTCAAGAGGAAAGCTGGATAGAAATAAAATATTTTTGATTTCTGTTAAAATTTATTGCCATGTGTCATTCCCATGCCATTATTTTTATCAGTAAATCAGAAGGAGTTTGGTAGTACTTTTTCAGACAGTAACCCATTTTATTAAAAGGCGTGAAAGCGCCTGCCTTTTAATCAAATTGATTAGGCTAATAAAAAGTCTCTTTCCTGAAAGATAGATACCATATAGAAGCTTGGGTTTCCTGGGTCTGCAATGAGAAACACGGATTATTATTATTTTTTAAGGCCGTAAAGGTTCCCCTTGTACATATGTGTGCTAGTCGTTCCCGACTCTAGGGGGCAGTGCTCATCTGTTTCAAAGCTGAAGAGCCAGCGCTGTCTGAANGCTTATTTTCTTCTGTCTTCAATTTTATTTTAAATTCCAATTCTTTTGGGTTTTCCATTCTCTAATAATAAAAAAAAATTCTCACCATATCGATGCACTCCTGTACTGCTTCTGCTTCAGAGGCTTGTCCCAACCTTCTGCAGCCGTTTTGGCTGCTTCTCTTGTAGCTGGCAAAAAGAGCTTTCTCCTGGATCAATCAGGGGCTTTGCGATGCCCCTAAGATCAGCAGGATATGGTCTTCTCTATCATTGTTCCTTCAGAACAGTTTAGGTCCAAAAGGACCGTCCAGGAACAGAGATATCGACAGCAATCCTGGAGCCGCAAGATTTCATGTTGTGTCGTTGCGATGTCAAGACCCGCCCTCCAACCCAGAATTGTTAATTCCACTGGCAGATATTTGCACGAGCCACTGATAACCAGAATAACAATGTTGGAAAGGACCTTGGAGGTCTTCTAGTTATTTTGACTCTAAAGTGCAGAAGCCTGAAAATAAAGAAGGCTACTCTGTGAATAACAGAAAAGTATTATCTTGTGAACTGAAGTGTTATGCTAAGAATTGACCACCAGGAGGCAGCCAATAACTGATTTTTGCAGCTGTTGTCTGCCTTCTAGTGGCCAGTTAATGTTCTAGCAGCACAAAAAGTATATAAATGTGAATCATTCTCCCCACCCCATCAGGTCTTGGGTTTGGAGGGGAGAGGACTTGTAACTTCACAGAAAATGGAAGGCCACTGTAAACATCTCAATTCTTCTAACGAGAAATTAGAAAAAAGAATTAATTGCATACTTAATAACAGACGTACAACGTAAGATCTGAAGTACTTCGGAATCATTTCACAGCCCTCTTAGCAACTATATTTTGGAGTGTTGTGCTGTCCATATCCGTCCAGATAAAGAAAGTTTACTTTGACTGTCTCCATCCACAGTAACTCCTTCAAATGTTTGCTTTTTTTTGGTAGGGATTTTTAAACGGCAAGGAACATCTGGATGATTTAATCAGCAGCCTGTTGGAGGCTTCACAGATGAAACTTCTGGCTGAACAGTTGGAAAATAATTTGAAATCTCTGTCGGCAGGCTCCTGAACTGATGGAACGAACTTTTTTTTTTAAAAAAAGGTTTCTTGTGTTGGTAAAAAAAATTAAAGAGAACTATTTAAGAAACGCTAATCTCTTTTTTTAATTTCATATTTGGTTAACACGGCCTCTGGTTTTGCGAGCATTTTTCAAATAATTTGCTTCCCCCCCTGCCCTCTGCTCTATGTGGCTCTCCGTGGAGATTCTCCGTGGAGATTCCAAC